TATACTTCTTCTCAGATCTTTCTCTTCATTCATAAAACAGAAATTTAGTTTTTTTTTCATGATTTGGAATTAATGAAAAAATTTTAATGATCACAAACATTAGTCATAGCATTCCCCCCTTCAAATTCTTGCTTGAAGTTTTGTGCTATTTTTAGGTAATTCAATGAAAATCACTAACAAATAGTTTTATTGCTTAATGAATTAAGCACATGGTAGTTATTATAGCATAGAACTCTTTCTGCTGGTGAATGTAAGTGTATACTGTGATAAAATTACAAGTTATAAATGTTCAAAATCTAACAAGTTTTATCAATGTTTAAATTGTTAAGCTTTATAAGTCACTTTTTGATTTATTTTCTGTTGTGTAAAACTTATTAACTTTAATTTCTTCAACTGCTAACAAGGAAAATATGTTATTTCATGTAACCTGACAACTTTAATAAGCATCATCACTGTAGAAGTTTGGGAGAGATGTAAAGACCCTTAATGTGAGAATTATGCAGCATGAGATTAGAGAGCTTCAGTTTTGATATTATTTTTAATCATTAAAACAAAAATAATGAAGAGGGGGAAGTAACATTGTTGATGAATACCTCTGTTCCTTTTATATTTGCATGATAAAGGGGGAGAGACATTAGGAAATTTTTGGAAGCAGAAGAGATGAAAACTCGGCAACACCTTCGCCAGGAATCAAACCGGATACCTCTGGAATACGCGCCCAGTGTGCAGACCACCACACCATGAAGGCATGCCAAGAAGGCAGAAGAAATACCTTATATACTCCCTCTTTTAAAGGGCGACTGGGGTTTAAGGGGACCCAATCTCCAAATCCTGGGTGAGGAGAATCATATCAAGCACCTTTTTAGTTTGGGCGCTAGTGTAGAGACATTGGGTATATTTTTGGAAGCAGGCAAAATGAAAAATTAGCAACGCCTTCAACGGGAATTGAACCTCAGACCTCTGGAATATGCAACCAGCGTGCGGACCACTACACCATAAAGGCATGCCAAGAAGGCGGGTGACATACCTTATAATGTAAAAGGCTTCTTTCATAGTTTAAACTGTGGTTTGTGTTCAACTTGTGCTTTCTCATTTCAAAGTTGGAACTCGATATCCAGTTCAGAATTAATTGCTGTACAGATATTTAATGTTTTTCTCAGAATCCTTAAAATTGTATAATGTAAAAGGCTTCTTTCATAGTTTAAACTGTGGTTTGTGTTCAACTTGTGCTTTCTCATTTCAAAGTTGGAACTCTATATCCAGTTCAGAATTAATTGCTGTACAGATATTTAATGTTCTTCTCGGAATCCTTAAAATTGTTTCCTTTTTGTTTATTATCAGATCCAGTGTATTTCATTTATTGCAGGGTGAAATTAACTTAAAATGTTAATTGTTATAAATACAGTACAAGTGATAATTGATACAGAAAGCAAAGGGGCTGCTTTCTTTCTGTAGAATAACGTGTAAAACTGTATAACCTGAATTATTCAAGAATGGTATATTGAATATGAGAAAGAGTTTCAGCATTGTTTTGGCCCTTAAATTGTTTTTGATATCATGCGAATAAAATATTTTATTGGGGCAGCAAAATAAATTTAGGCTGTTTCAGGTTGACTTGGAGGAATTAAAGAAGCTGCTTGACCAAGCAAACACTAAATGCCTGTATAAATCTTATTCATGACATCTGTGGCATTCATTTGTGCCCAACATGAGCTATTTTATTGGCTCATATGTGGAGGACTATCATTATATAAAATTGTTGGGCTCTAATGTTCTGATTAACTGAAACTATATTTGCAGAATCATTTTGATTCCATAGATTTTGCCATTTTAAGATTACTTGTGATACTGAGAAATTAATTTGCTTTAAACAGGGTTGCCACACTACCTGGAAAACCGGAAAAAGTCAGGGAATTCGGAAATTGACCAAAAAATTCAGGGAAAAGTCAGGGAATTTAAGTGTTTTAGTCAAAATGTGGAAAAGTCAGGAATTTCATACAACGATCTCGCCAAAAAAGGCGAGTTTTGCACCGACTTCGGAAGAGATCACTTTTTTGGCGAATTGTGTATCACGCGAGTGTCATTCGGGCAGCTGGCATAGAGCCAATTTTCGCAGCTCCAATTTGATTGTCTTTTTCGAAAGGCAAAACAAGTTTCCCGCAACTTTTGGTTTCCAGTAACCTCGAGAATCGCATGTGCAGTGCATGAACTAAAGAAAGTACCTGTTCTCGTATAAAACAAAATGGGTTTAATCCTACTATACGGTACCATGAAAGTTAGAATCAAAAAATATGTATTGTAAAGAAGGAAAACCTCTCTGCAACAGACGTTTCTCCATTCCATCATAGCGGGAAACAGCTGTGCATTCGCGATATATCTGTCGCCAAAGCTCGAAACTGGTGTCGAAGTTCGAAGGTCATGTTATCAAGAGTTCATAAAATGAATATAGTTTAAAATTTCCTTAAACTCTAAAGGAAAAGAAAATATTTTTTGGCGCAAGTAAATTAATTCATGGATTAGTTATATTGAGGGGGGGGAAATCTACGAAAATCCGTTTTTAAATTATTGCGAAAAATCCAACAAAAAACGTTCTTTGATAAAACGTTTCTTCTTGGATTTTTCGTAATAATTTAAAAATGGATTTTCGTAGTTTTCTTTTTTGTCTAAGAATGTTTCTTCTTAACACGTGTTTCTCAATTTCCTGTACACATCGCAGAGAGGGAAATTCTGGCTGCCAGGTTCCGTCGCCAAATCCCTTGGCAAATTTTGCCTCCGCTTTTTACATAGATGTTCTTTTGGTTAGAATAATCTCCATGTATGGAACAGCGGGATTTGGCGACATGATGATGAGCAGTAGACGGGTCATTTTGTTCTTGGCGACAATTTTCAAAATCATGCGAAGGCCGTATCGTATATTAGGATTTTACCGCAAAATCTTTTTTTTTTTTTTCTTTTCTTTTTAATAAATACCTTGTCATTTTGCAGTAAAATAAAAAAATAGTAATCATCTAGGATAACCATGTAATATAACTATATTCGCTAAAATATCGTTGATTATTCTAATTAAATTTTTAAGTAATTATCTTTATTTTTATGTTATTCATATCATTTAATGTTGCTTCTTCCCTCTAAATTTATTTATCATTAGTAAATAATATTTCCAAATTTCAGGAAATTTTCTCTGGCATAATCCTGAAATTAATTCTAGCAGTATGATGACATCACGAAATTTAATGCACATATTTTTTCCTTATGTATACTGCGAAATAAATATAAAATACCTCAATTTAGTTAAAAAATATCATTAAATAGATTTCTTTCGTTTAGCTGCAGAATGTCTGCAAAAAAAAAAAGCCTTATTTTATTCCAGATTGGGCAGATTCTAATCTCAATCTTCAGTGGAGAAAACAACTCGTATTATAATAATATTTGTGTTTTCAAGTGTTAAGGTGCCTTTTAAGAATACACCTCACACAAATTAAATTTATCTAAAATCTAACCTAACTTTTAGCATTGCATTGTGATTTATAAAAACCGCATTAGCCTCGTGTTGAACTGGGGATGATCATGAGTAATAATTAAATAAAATGTACAGTTGTTATCCACTGTATATATCTTAAATTTTATTTAGTTTTTTTAAGCGGAAAAGTAAACAAAATTATCAAACAAAGTGTACCAAGAATAATTAAGAATAAATTTCCTCTGGGATTTATTGAATAATTAAGTGAATTTGCTATACAGTACAAGTAATACCATAATTAATTTACCTCTTAGCACAGCCAACGTACATTACGTGGATAGACTGGAATTTTTTCGAAACATACTTGGAAAACCTGGAAAAGTCAGGGAATTTCATTCTCCTGTTTGAGTGGCAACCCTGTTTAAATAACATGTAACTGTGATTTTTAGATATTTTCAGTGAACTCTAGGAGAAATAGGTCATTTATCAAAGCATGTTTAAAAATAAATTTAATCAACAATATTATGCATAAAACAATAAGTTGAAGGCTATAGTTATAAAAAAAACCTTCCAGTTAGGAATTTTTCAAACATACCATGTTAGCTGGGAAACTGGATTATAGAGAAAAAGCTGATCATATCTCATTTTACAAGTGTCTACTCTATAGGACCTTGATATTATGAACTTGACTTTTGAAAGCAGAAATCAAAAGTCAAACTGGAAAATTATCCAAATTTTCCCTATTAACACAAACTGATAGTCTATTAGCTTACCACTGCTATGACTTCATCTCAGATAGAATTCAAATTAAAAATTGTATATCTTATTTCACAAACTTCTGCTATACAAAAATACACTATTTAAAATGAATTCATTTGCAAAGCTGAGGTATTTCTGTAATTCTAAAGGGTGCTGTTAGGTATGTTGAGGTCATTGTCCATGTTTCATTCTTATACTGCCAAAATATATGTATTTAAAAATGGAAGTTAATAATTTAGGAAGTTACCTTTATGAATAACATAGAAGAGATAAATTTTGTGGTCAATCAATAAAAATTGATGAAAAATTCAATTAATATGAGAACTACTGAAAGTAGCAGTTCCATTTTGATAAATAGTTAACAGAGGAGTCGAAGGTCAAAATTTTTCACAAATATCTGCGATCAGCTAGCATTTAGAAAAATAAGTGGCTGCCAGTTTTGATAAAAGTTTAACTGAGTATATCTTAGATATCTCAATGCATATGTGTTACTATCTAAACATACATGCATTTCCCCTCTCAGAGACATGTCGGAGGGTAACAAATTTGACAGTTTGAGACTTCAGGCAGTCTGCTGTAAAACAGATTTTACTTTCTACTGATTAAGACAAGTTTTCTAATACTGGCCATTTTTGTCTGTTTAATAAGTTAATTACTAGGTTTTAAAATGAGCATATTATTTTTTTGCTTTTAACTTGTAATTGGATTCATTGATTTTAGATGTCTTTCATTATTTAAGTACTAGTTCTGCTTCCTTTATTTATTTATTTTCTCATTTTAGGGTGTGTTTCATCTTTGGTCCTCCTGTAACATATCCAGTTCATGATATAACTCCAACATTTCTGACACCTATTGTTCTAAGTACTCTACGGCAAGTTGACTATGTTGCACATTCTATATTGCAAAGTAGTGGTCATATGGGTAGTATATCTCAAATGCCTATTATCCTTATACCCATACATTTTGATAGAGACGTAGTTTCAAGAAATCCCTCTTGCCAGAGGTCTGCTGTAATCAGGACATTTATTACTCATGATTTTATGACAGGTATACCAGCTACTCCAAATAAGCACCTGCCTTTAGATGTAAGTATATTTTAATTTTTTCTATGAATTCTCTTTTCTGAAAGTAAAATGTATTTAATACAGTCAAAAGTCTTTAATCCGGATGTCCATAATCCGGAATGATCTATAATCCGGACCTCAAAGCTACAAACTTTCTGGGCGTGCATAAACGCATAATACGTCTACACATGTGCGTTTAATGTATAACGAACGGTATAAGTTAAGCTAAAATTATCTAATTATCTATTTCAGTTAATGTTGCAGATTGCATTGTTTCTTAATCTTCTAATTGGATCCGGCTTATTATTTTTGCAGACTGTTGGAGCAATTTTATAAAAGTAAGCTTGAACTTTCGATTATGTCAAAAAGAATTTCCGATTCTGGAGCTGCCGAAGGATCTACAAAGCGAAAGCATGTTTCGATGTCCATCAAACAAAAAGTGGAATTGCTGCAAAAAATGGATAAAGGCATATCCTTTGTTTCTCTAACCATTCCGAAATCTGTTTATCAATTTCACGCTGCTGTGCGGGGGGTGGGGGGGACGTCGCGGCGCGCAATTAACTGGAATTTGATCTGTCAGCACTATCCTTATCTTCAGGGCAGATGTTTTTATTTTATTCGGCTTATAATTCCTTACTAAATGTAGTATTTCATCTCAATGTACTCCGTCTTTGATATGATTTAAATCAAATTCCTTGTCGTTATAAATATCACGAATACAGATCAAATAGTTTTCTGGTTGCCATTTTCTAATTTCGATTAATTAAGCGTAATGTATGCTTTATGCATGCGCGCATTGAAAGAAATGTTTAATAAAGTAAACAAATAAATATTAAGCTTTTTTTGTAAACTTTGATACCTTTTAGATCATAATTGCTCTTTATTTCATAAATTACGGTTTCATATTTTTAATTTTATAATTTCTGCATGCCATCTTACCAGATTTAAACTGATGATCTATAATCTGGAATCGCCGAAGACCCAACTAGTTCGGATTAAAGACTTTTGACTGTATTAAAAAATTTTTTAATATTCTAATACTTTTTTTTTTAATTGGTTATGTAAAAAATGCTGAAGCGAAAGGGGGGAGAGAATTTCTTGCTTTGTTATTTCTATGCATTATTAATAATAATACATCAACTTTAAAAACTAAATTTGACTTAAATATATTGAAATGTTTAACACATCTATAATCTTAATATAAAAAAGAAAAAAAAAAATATTCCTTTCTCCTATCTCAGAATTATTGTAATTATTCTGCTTTGAAAATTCATTCCATTTATTGTTTATATTTTGAGAATATGGGTTAACATTTAGGCTAAATAAAGAGAAAGTTCTATATTGAACTGAAAAATAAAATTAGAGGCTGGATAATTAGCAAAGTTTTATGTGATTAACTTCATTATTATTTTGTAATTATTGATTTGCAGTGGATTACAGTCATCACATGCCTACCAGTAATAAAATGGATAATGTCGTTGAAGAGTGATAATTTCTCCTGAGTTTGGTTTCCAGCTACTGTATAGGATTTTTGAGGTGTTCTCATATGTAACATGAAAAGCATTCTTTTTATGGCAGGCAGCCATTAAATGTTTTTCCGTAATAAAATGCAACAATTTTGTTTTTGCTTTTATTTTTAAACAAACTAAAAAGGTCCTCTTAACAATAGGAATACTAATCTATAGTTTTTAAACAAAGCAATATTGATGGAAAGTACATTTTACGGTTTATTTGTATGATTATGTATCACATCTAAGCATTTTGCAGGTTAGTGACAAACTAAATTTTTAATTTTGATTTTGCATCTTAAGATACATTTTTGGAAATTAAGAGGGTTAAAGTTGTAAATGTTTCATTTTGAAAGTAAAAATATTATCACATATAAATGATAAATATTTTTGAGGAAAGATTTTTCAAAATGTACATATGGTTTTCATGAAAATAATTTTGAAAATTAAAAAAAGCTGCCACAATGCTAAGTAAATTCTGAAGAGCCAACCAAATAGAAAAAAGGAGAGCTATCTGAAAGGATTGGTCTTTATAAAACCAAATTGCAGTCCCTCTGCGTTTATAGATATGTAATATGTGTGTTGGGAAACATGGTGTTATTAGGTATCTCACTTTCTTACTATCACCACTATATTTGGAAATCATCTAACTGAAAATTTCACAACGTGTTAATAGCAAACTAGAAAGTGACAATTCACATGAACAACTGCAGAGTTATGCATTTTAAAAAAAGTTTTGTATTCAACCCTTGCAACCAGTACCTATCAGTTTCATGTATTTACATTTCCTATGACTTTGTAGAATAGTCATACGACTTTAAACATTTGTATAATTCCTAGCTTTAAATTCTTCAGTTTTGCAATATAAATTACTATAAATAATGAAAGTAGAACAATTGCTTTTATGACATAAGGGGAAAATATGCATGAAAATGTCAATACCTATTATGAAAATCAAATGAAATACTTTGTAAGGTTCCGTTATGTTAATTAACCAGTTATTTTATGTTTTGGGCCTTTATTAGTGATGGGCAACTTCGGTACATTCTTGTACCCGGTACGAGAGTAACGGGTACAGACAAGTACCCGGTACAAAATACCCGTTACTCAAGTAACTGTTACTTTGAAAAGTACCGAGTACCCAAGTAACGATTTGGAGTACCGAAGTAACGAAATACCGGAGTAGCGGTTTGCTGTACCGTAGTACCCTAGTAACGGTTTGCTGTACCGGAGTACCCTAGTAATGATTTGGAGTACCGAAGTACCCTGGTAAAGATTTGGAGTACGAAAGTACCCTAGTAACGATTTGGAGTACCGAAGTGCCCTAGTAATGATTTGGAGTACCGAAACACGCAGCTAGTGATATTGTGCACTGAAGGAACTCTGCTATGTCACCACGTGTTGATTTTATCTGTACGGAGTAAGATTTTGAATATCAGAAAACATGTCAACTACGGAAGTGTCTGAGGAGCAGACCATTCATGGACACAAGGAGCGCATATCACCATTTTGCAAATACAACCAGATACTACTGTCCTCGTACCAAAACCGAAGTGAGCTGAACCCTCATCGATTCTCCAGTAACGAATACCGAAATACCGAGAAGAGACGCGTATTTTCATTACAAAGTAACAAATACCGAAAAGCACTTGTTTCGGTACAGAAGTAACGAATACCGAAAAGTATCCGTTTCGGTACAGAAGTAATGAATACCGAAAAGTACCCGTTTCGATACAGAAGTAATGAATACCGAAAAGTACTAATTTCGGTACTGAAGTAACGGGTACTTGGATGTACCGATTTTCAGTACCCGTTACAAAATACCCGGTTCGGTAGTACTGACTCATCACTAGCCTTTATTGTCACTTCTTCCTTCAGTTTTCCTGCAAGAATGCAAATTAGTTTGCATATATGGATTTTGAGACAAAGCGTGTCTTTCCTCTCAAGGTCACATTACTAGGTTGCTAGCACAGTCTTTGGCCTTGTTACCAGTACTGAATCTGTGGCCGCTTAGATAAATGAACCGACTATGCATTAAATTGATCTGTGTAGCTTTTGGCTGTTAGTTTATTTAACATTTGTTTAATTTAATTTTAGATTTGAACTCAGTGTTATCTTATCTCATCATAAGTGCAGGTTGAGCTTGTAAGCATCAGGTGTGCCTTCTGTTCTTCGTAGTTTTAAATAAAAGACTTTTACACCCTTCTCAAGGCTCAGTTGTTATTTTAGACTCGGCGATAATTCACTTAACATCTACCAAGAGTGGACACTATTAGATGATTGCAAAACATTACAAACTTACTTTTATGGTCAGAAAAAGTGAACTTGAGAAAAGAAATTCTGTATTCTTTTACTTTTTCATTATTTTTACATACATCCATCTTCCTAAAGTATTTCATCTCCTATTTCAAAACATAATTGACAGTTTTAATGCACTCAACATTTTGTAACATGCTTAGGCTGTAAATAAATAGTCAAACTGATTTTATTAAATAAATTCATTTTACATATAATGCTATTACTCTGTGAAGTGCTGTACTGTTCAAGTGCAGTATAACTTAAATCATTCAAAATTAATGAACTAACTTTGACTTATCTTAGTAACTTTAAAAATGTGCATATTTAATTAATTTTTGATTTTTATTTTACAGGTTATTAAAAAAATGGTTGCTGAGATGTTAAATGTTCCCGGAATATCAAGAATCCTGTATGACCTAACTCCTAAGCCTCCTGGAACTACAGAATGGGAGTGAAAGTTTCCCTAGAGTTTTAATATAATTGTGTGGGCTTATCTTTAAAGATTTCAAGAGAAAAAAAATGTAAATATAAAGCCTTACTTTTAATATGTAGTCAGCTGGAACTTGAAAAAGCAAACCAAAAAAATTATTTTGAAATACATTATGAAAAATGACTTGTTTCCAATTACGAATTTTATGTGCATACAGCAGTAACAAAATTAAATCTTCAAAGCTGTTTATGATAACCTTCTTCCATTGCTCTAATTAGTTATAAAAATAGAATGCAACTTCTATTTTGGTTTGTTATTTAATTTTGATAAGATGAAAGTTTTGGTTCTTATTTTAAGGCACCTTAATTTAATAAATCTTAATGTATCTCATATTTATAAGTTTGGTTTTAAAATGGAATATTCTATTTTATATTGGGAAAAGGAGAGTAAAACAAAAATATGTTCCGACATATAAACTGGATTTGCCAATCTACTAAAATTTAATTTTGAAGAGACATTTATTGCAATTTTCTAGTAATTATCTAGAATTATTTCAATTCCATAAATTTACCTTACTATTACATATGCTGGAACAATGGAAGTAAGGACAATTTGGAAGGTATTTCTATGGTGTCTTTTCAGGAAAATAGTTCTTTGAATGTGTATTTAAGATGCTGATTGTGTTTGGAAGAATGCATCGAATTAAATGTATGGAACAGATTGGAAATCATGACATTTAGAAACTGCTAATTTATTGCCTTTTTAAGACATATTTCTTCAAATATGCATTTAAGTTTATAATTCCATCTTTTTGAGAAGATGCACAAAAATACCAATATAGGAGCTTGAAGGCATAATTAACAACAAGCCTGTGCAAATGTTTATATATGTGCAGAAAATTTTTGCACTCTGTAAATAGTAATTCAGTAAATCATAAACAAATTCTGTTGCAGCAAACATTTTGTTAAAATAATAATAAAGAAACGTTTGCTATACTCATGGTCTCAAATTTATTGAACAAAGAGTACCCTTCTGAAATGTCCAGTAAATAAATAAATAAATAAGTGGGATAGAAAACCGTATTGTTAGAATTTAAATAGTAATAATTGAATCAGTTTTATTGTATAATGGATGTATGTTGTTTTTGTTACAATAGATGTTGAAAGTAATTTCCATTTCCATTCTGGACAACACCGAGTCATTCTAGCATGCCCAGAAACATCTTTTGCAGCACTATGCTACAAACACAGTTAAATTTATTGCTTCAGCTCTGTTGTAGGTGTGGGACTTTTACATTTTACCATTCAGGTTATCATATTGGAATTTTTCCTACTTGTTAAATAATAATCATTTTAAAAGTATGCATGTTTATTGTGAATGAAGGTGTGTGTTCAAGTTGTCAGATTTGATTGACTAAGAATAAGTATGGTAGAAACCACCTATATGTGAACATCATCGTTCAAACATAGAATATTTTATTGTATTCTGACAAAATGCAGTATATGTAGTTCAGAGCATTAGAAGTGCAGAAATTAATTTACAAACAATACAAAATATTGACAAGTATTTTTGCTGCCTAAATAATTTTTAGAAACTTACTATAAAACAAAATACTAGCAGAAAATAAAATCATTGGATCTTAACTTATGAGAATATGCTGTGGGTTAAATATATTCAGATGTTTTAAATGTAGACTGCAAATTATTCCTATTCTCAATAAAAACAGATCATTTAAAAATCAGTCATCAAAATTTCCTTGTACTATAGTAAAAAATTCTTTCATAACCTTGGTTTAAACAAAAATTACCATACTTTGTAAAACTATGTGCTTTTTTTTTTTCCCCTAATGCAACATTGGGATAAAAAAAAATATATAAAATTTTAAAAGGTTTGGTTACATAAATATATATTCTTCCAGAGTCCTTTGATTGATGAACCTCATAATTTCAGAGGGCAGATTTAATGCTTCAAAATGTAACATACATATTCAAAACAATCAGTTTTTTTCAATAAATGAAAGATAAGGAGGGAAAAAATTATTACAAAGCTTAATGAACTCTGTTCACCATATTAAATCAAAATATTAATAGATGTAATTTTCTTATATTGTTCTTCCTGTCTGACATATACAGTCATAAATATTTTTAGCATTTTTCCATATTAAATTATAATGAAAACCATCTATACAGTTGGAAATCCTTTTGAAACATTTCCTCAATTGTTATTGTTAAGTCGACAACCCCATTATTCATCTTTCTTGCACCCAGCCATTGTATTTTACATTTACACAGTAAGCTGTTTTTATGTCCAATCATTCATTATGCATAAAATTTTTAAGTCTTTGAAAAGTTTAATTGAAGCATCAAGTGATGGTAAGATTAAAAGACTTAAAAAACTTTCAAAAGTTAGTCAACTTTAAAGACAACTTTAAACTTTCAGACTTAAAAATTTTATCCATTATGCATAAAATTTTGAAGTCTTTGAAATGCTTAACTGAAGCATCAAGTGATGGTAAGATTAAGTTTCCAGCCATATGTTAGTCAAGAAGTTTCCAGCTATATGTTAGTCTTTCTTGAATAACTTGCTACACTTCTCAGTTCAATGGCCTTGTCTAATCTTGTATTTTTCATATAAAAAATAGTAATTTTACTTTTTCTTCCAAAAATATCATGAAAATAAAGGTATAAAAATATGCATAGAAATACACTAATTTCTCAGACCTTTCAGACCAAGCATTTGCATTTAAATAATAATTTTAAGTATAAATAGTGTTAGACATAAATACATCACTTTTCTGGTATGAGGCTAAAATGTTTAGAGACATAACATAAGTTTTAATTTATCAAGAATCAGTAAAGAAAGGCAGTGAAGAAATAGTTGACAAGGAACACTTTGATGTTTACCTTTATGATCAAAAGAGGAATTTGTATTTAAAAAAATGTAATGCAAATCTCATTCATTTTATGTCAGAAAAACACAGCACTACCCAGTGGAACAAAGTAAAAAAAAAAATCTTGGAAAATATGAGAAATGCTTTTGATATATTAAAATATGAAATTTCCAGAAATATTTGCTTTCCTGTCAACATTTTACTGATGAGACTTATCAGTAACTTGTGGGATTATTTGAATATTTCTATCAAGGGAGGTGATTGCTCATTATACTCAGAAAAATAGAAATGCTCATGCCATGAAGTAACAGAAATAAAAGCCTACATTTGTCCTCTCATAGCACAAATTATTGATATGTTTGGGCAGTATGATCACTCGTGGATATTTGTATTTTTGAAGCCATTCTTGGTACAAAGCTGGATATATTTTTCATATAATAATCTCATTTTATTATAGATAGTAGTATTAACAAAACATGAATTAATTTAGTTAGAAAACAGATCATATAAAAGTACTACCATGCCTTTTAGATCTAATATGATTACTCATATTGGTTATATAACTTCTTGCAGGTTAAATCACATTACATTACAATAGTAAAAGGAGTCATGCTATTTATTGCATTTCGCCACTTAATATGATCACATAAGAACACAATATATAATGATTGAAGAAATGTGGTTTTATCTATCCAGAAATATAAATACACGGAACTGGAACTGTTGCTACATATAGCTTACTGTGGATTGATTATCCAGGCTAATGCCAGGGAAACAGGCTACAGATAATCCAAATTATCAATTTTCATGCATGCGTTTTATTTCCTTAAAAAATCAGTAGCTTTGTTCTGCATATTTTTTAAGGTGCTATTTTATAACTGTATTTGAATTCCTTTTGGTCGTCGAGGTCTAATAGAGTTTCAACATAAGTCATTGCTGTTTAGGAACAAATGTAATCATCAGTATCACTTTCTGCTTGTTTAGTTCCTGTGGCAGTTGAAATGATATCTTTCATATTCAAACATCGAGAGCTGGGGTCAGATGAATCACAATTGAATTGTTCCTCAGTATTCTTCTGATTGACATTTTTGAAGAAGTTTACATTTTAAGTTTTTTTGGCATACAGCTTTAGTTAATACTTTAACCTTCTTCACAATTAGATAAATCTCCAAATTCTATAATGGAAGAATCTCTGTGATCAAACCAGCTTTACTGGTTTTACTTTCAACCAAGTTTTTGCTACCGCATATATGGCATCCATTGTAATAAATTTTTTTCAGAACTTCATTAATTCATGATCTTCCTCAGCAAGACTTATGAAAAGACCAGAACAGTAAAGTCATTTCACTGATAATATTGCACCTTGGTCCATATGATAAATTAAACAGGTAACATTTTGGCAATAATAATTTAGCCATCATTAGACTGTCCATTGTTTTCTAAACGGTCTTGATTGGATAAGAAGACGTATTATCAAATAACAGTACGGTCAAAAGTCGTTAATCCGGACTCGTCGGGACTTCGGCGATTCCGGATTATCGATTTTTCCGGATTATAGATCATCAGTTTAAATCTCGTAAGATGGCATACACAAATTCTAAAATTAAAAATATGAAACCGTATTTTAGGAAATAAAGAACAATTATGATCTAAAGGGTATCAAAATTTACAAAAAAAGAAGCTTAATATTTATTTGTTTACTTTATTAAACATTTCTTTCAAAGTAAGTTGTTTCGTTTTATGTGATAATACTTTCTCTTTAATTCTATAAACAGACATAATTTCTTGTTCAGTTAAAAAGCTCCGCTGTTCAAGTCCCGTAATTGCTGTGCCGAGAATACCGACTAACTTGTCAATCGAAATTTTTTCGTTTTCACTAACCTCTCTGTCACCTTCTTCATGTCTTTATCCATTTTTTGCAGCAATTCCACTTTTTGTTTGACGGACATCGAGACATACTTTCGTTTTGTAGATCCTTTGGGAGCTCCAGAATCGGAAATTGACATAATCGAAAGTTCAAGTTTACTTTTATAAAATTGCTCTTTACAGTCTGCAAAAAATAATAAGCTGCATCCAATTTGAAGATTAAGGAATAACGCAAGCATCAACATTAACTGAAATACATAATTGTATAATTTTAGCTTATACCGTTCGTTATACGTTAAACGCGAACGCGGAAACGTATTCTACACTTGCGCACA